TAATTTTTATGTTTTTCTCTTTCCTCGCGCTCTTAATATAATCGGTGTAGAACTTGTGCTTTCGTTATAAAGGACATGGAACTCGCCCGAGGTCGAAGTTTTACGCTGTTTACTAATACTATGCATGGACAATAATCTTTTATTTCTCACTAGCATAGAAGGTATGTTCTTCAACTCACGGAGTAATAGCGCAAACTGATTTCTACCCACTACTTTCACAGTTTTTCTCTCACGCATCGCGACGTTTATCAAGTCACTAATATTCGAATCTTTCATGACGTTACCATCTATAGTAACGATTCCATGCTCGTCCCAATAATTCTATCAGGCACATTTTTTCGAAACAAAAGTTTTATCAGTAAGTGCATGCTTACGATAAGATTACGCTTTCCACTATTTCTTCAATGCTTTTCATCGCGTGATTATTCCTCACATGATTATGCTCAAAATTTCGAAATTTTTTGTAATAATATCGATGGAGTGTGCCGATGATATACTCGTATCAGTTATTTGCATGAGATCATGAAAAAAATCATCGTTCGTCATCTCATTATCAGCGGAGGCATCTCGTGTAGTGTTGTCTTCTGCATTTTCATTTTTGTTGCATGCGTCTCTCTATCTTCGCGTTTCTTGGACAAACCGTAGGTTATCGCCATAATGCCTCTCTGTACATTTTCCATTTCTTACTTTTGTCGCGCGGTCAGTCAGAATTAAGAATACGACTCACCTCCGCATCGAGTCGTGTTAGATGAGTTCCGGGGGTTTGCGTTGTAAAGGGTGTCTCAAAATGATCTGACATTTTAAATTGCGCATTTTTTTGTAAAAACGTTCGTTTTGCGCAACGAACGTAACGTACTAACCTTTAACAACTGGCATCAGGAAGTATTGAGGTTTAGTCATAGAGAATTACACGATCGAGCAACGCATAGAAATTGTGAAAATCCACTACAAATATAGTGAATATTTTGCAGAGACGGTTCGAAAAGTCCGCCCGTCTTTTGGTCATCATAACGCACCATCTCGCAATACTGTGGTGAATTTAATAAAAAAATTTGAGTCGAATTTGGGGGACCTAAAATCCACAAATGATCCAACAGCTTCCCATGCATCCACCACGAGTCACTGTTTGGTGCGGATTTGGGTTGGAGGAGTGATTGGGCCGTACTTTTTCGAGAATGCTGCGGGAAATGCGGTTACCGTCAATGGTGTTCGTTATCGTGACATGATAACCAACTTCTTATGGAAAGAATTGAACGGCATAGACTTGGAAGACATATTCTTTCAACAAGATGGTGCAACCTGCCACACTGCGGACGAAACAATGCAGTTATTGCAGACGAAGTTTCATGGTCGTGTTATTTCGCGCCGCGGCGATGTGAATTGGCTACCAAGATCGTGCGATTTGACGCCATTGAACTTCTTTCTTTGGGGTTTTCTCAAAGGAAAAGTGTATGCTAATGATCCACAGACCATTCCGGAGTTGAAGGAAGAAATTAGACGTACCATTAATGAAATTAGTCCGCAATTATGCCAAAATGTCATTGAAAATTTTGTCAAAAGAATGAACGTTTGCAAACAGAGTCGAGGCGGCCATTTATCGGATATTGTGTTCCACATATAAATGAAAAAAAAATCCATGTTTGTACTTTATATTAAACTAAAAACATGTGTACTTTTCAAATAAATAATATGTTTTATTAATACATTAAAATGTCAGATCATTTTGAGACACCCTTTATTATTAGTGCTCGCTGTGTTATCCGAATTTTGCGGTACTGCGATTTCTTTTGACTTTCCGCTAGTGAATGATCGGTCGGACGTAGCTGATGTTGTTCTCTCGAGTTTTCTGTCGAAATTAAAATCATTTTTTTGATCCTCTTCATAACGTTTTATCCTTGTTATTTTGTTCCTTCGATAATTAGTGATAATAAGATCGATAATATAGGTCCCATAATAGGTAAAAATCCGCCTCACTGCACCAACAGCTTTCTTTTATTCTTCCAATTACCACGTTTTGTAACGATGAGACGCAGAGCTGTTTTGTATTTGGTTAACCGATTTTTTTCATAATGTTCGAGCTAGACGTTACCTTTGAGTGTATTAAAAACACATTCGCAGATACTACGAATTAGTTTTTCGTCAACGCCGCGTAAGAACGTTGTATGTTGATTTTTGCTCAAATGCGCCGCGAAGAGAGGCGTTTCTCTTACCAATCGAATGTGAGGCGATTTTCGTCGCACTGTGCGGTTTCTTGTTATTGACACGATTATCCGTATTTGCCTTTTATACGAATCCGCTGGAAAATGATCTACGCAGTACGTAGACGATGAGTATCCTCGAAAAAAATACACGTTTGAAATTGACTCGTCTGGGGTTGATTGTTTCAGATTGAGCAGCAAATAGCCGTGAGGTCTCGGCGTAGCGTCGCAGTATGCCTCTTCTAGGAATTTCGGATCGTCGGGATAGACTTGACGCGCTAAATGAGGAATTTGAGCGCGATCACATGGATTTTTGAAAATGATGTAATTCGCGTTGACCACGCCCCTGATGGAAGAGATTCTGCGATAACAATAATACTGAGATTCTTATGATTGCTGACTATTACTGATGACTGCTTTTAGTGAAAAGATCTACGATCACGTCGCACGACGATGATTTTCTCATAAAATTGTCGATTATCATTAATTTCGAACAAAGCAGATCGTTCGAGTAATCTTCCAGACGGAGTAAACCTTCGTAAAATTTAATTACATTCTTTTTCGTCATTTTAGTATTGCTGCATCCCCAACTCTGTTCTTCAAGCTCTTTTTTATGAATGTCGTATTTTAATTGATGATAGGCTTGTTGCCATTCCACATAATAGAACAAAACTCTTTCGAAACGTATGTCGGACATGAGAAATAAATACCCGAGAAAAGTCTTTACAAAAATCGTTTTTCCGCATCCAATCGGACCGCATGTGATCGATGTCCATAGATGTTTCTAACGTCCATTTTGCGAAATGAGCTACTCTATTATCGTGCAAGGCTTCAAAAGCAAATAAAAGAAAAAATGATGCTTAATAATATTTTTAAAAATGTACAAAGGAAAAAATTTAAGGAGGGAGAATAAGCTGATCAACGCGGCCAGACGCGCGTTCGCGTCAGCGTATCCCCGGCGTAGGCTAGCCGACGAGAGCACCGCGGCGTCTTCCAAGCTGATTCTTGCCACGGTGCAACGCATAAGCTTATCTGTGACGAAGTCAGCGTACAATTTCTTCGGGACGTGGCATCGCCGCTAACGAACTTATACGCGATGCCGCGTGAAAAGCTTATGAAGGATGAGAGAAAAAGGTGTAAAAAAATTTTCTTGTGATTTAAATATAAAATTTTATAAATATAATATTTTATTTTTTATATTTGATGTTTATTTTTTACATAAAATGTGAAAAAGTGGAGTTTTTGTATTTAATCAATTTTTTCAAATGTTTCAAGTACAATTTTATATCGTGAAAATATTTTACATTATTTACATTATTCATATTATTTGTTTGAGATCGTTAATTCGGGAAAAAGTAAGAATTCTTTCGGTCGACCGACAGTTGTTGTTGAACGCACGCCTGAGGTCGTGATTTCATCTCGAGCATGATCTTAATCCTCGTCAAAGTCAGCGATTTGTCGTTCTTTGTTCATTGCAAAACAATTCGGTACACGCAAACAGGCACCGGCAACGGACCATCGAAAGTTCTAGAACAATTCAATTCGCGCACGCGAGCGCCGCGCTCCGATGAATACGTCACGCGCCGTCACCAATCCCACGTACGGATTTTCTGTAGCGCATGACTGTTACGTTGAACGTCATTAGAAAAGAATCCAAAGCGCCAATCAATTTTGTATAACTAATGCCACGTGATAATTACGATTATGACAAAAATCTATTGGATTTTCTCAAGAAGAAAGCCCAGGCCAAAAAGCAATAAATGCTTCAATCTCGCCGTTCCTTTTCTTCTTAGTGTTCAGAGTCTCTACTATATCGTTTCGTAAAACCGCCGTGCTAACCGTTATAAGAAAGATCTCGTCGAGAAGCGCCGAGAAAATCGCCGAGATTTTCTATCACCGCGATTCCGAATCCAATTCGGAAAAGGTGTGCCGTCCTCTCACTCTAATCTTTCCGCGCGGTGCATTCCCGCACATTATTAAAGTTCAATAAAATTTCTAATACTAAAAGATTTAACAATAATCATATCAGATTTAATAATAATTATATTTTATTTTACAAAATCATGTATTAAAATTTTATATTTTAATGATTTAAATGTATACCTAATCGGCGGAAAACTCGACGACGATCTTATATTAAAATGAGAGAGAAAGCTTGAGCAAGAGGAAGGTTATTCATTTATGAAATCGTAAGGAAAAGAATAACGATTACTGATAAATCTACGTTTTACCAATACAGGCGCACATGACTTTGTCTTATTTCACGTTACAATTTCATAAAACGCATCCGAATTGCAATAAAACGCAAATTTATCATCGACCTCTTCGTTCTTTCTTTTGCTCTCGCCTTTCTCTTTCATTTTCTACTATTAATTTCTTAATATTATTAAAGTTTAAAATTAATGAATTTTTATAATTAAGAGTTATACCCTTTATTTTACAGATTACATGCGTACGTCCTTCTGGTATACGAACGATATATGCGTAAAATTTTGGGCCATTCGAAACAAACAACTCAATATAACTTTCGCAACCGTAGCTCTCGAGTTCGTCCGTCATATCGCCCAGAAAATTACCCGTACGTGGTTCGTACACGTTCGGATTACCTGTACTTAAGTATATACATGAATCAGTATCGTAATAAAAAATTCGTCTATCAAATTTTTTTAAATATTCACATAATTTTAATTGCGCTAATGCTGTAATATTTGTCGCGATTATGACATTCGTTATTGAAAAAGCCACGACGCGTCTTCGCGTAGCCGCCGAAACATATATTACCTCGTCATTAACATGGGTAATATATTAGTTATCTCATGCTCCAGATTTGTGAATTAAGTCATCAGACGCTGATAGGATTTTACGATATCGGTATTAGGCAGATTGGTTCGCTGGCCAAATTTTCCCCATGAATTTAGACAAAGCTTAGCGACCGAGCGTAAACTGGGATTCCGTGTGATGTTATTTCTGTTGAGAATGATATCCTCAGTTTTTTCGTATTCCCTCAAATATCGTTCCTTAGCCTCGACATCGTTGTCTCCACATTCGCTCGGCCATCTGCTAGCTTCCTGTTTTAATTGTAAAAATGTTTTTATATATTCGGCGAACAATTCTCCCCGCCCGTGTATTGAGATCGTATCGCGTGATTTTATACTGCTAGATTTCACTCACGCTCGTCACAAGACGAGCTCTAGTCTTTCTCGATGGCTTTGCGCAATTCGTAGGATACCCAGATACCTTCGAATTCATGCTCTTCGGGACGATTGTGTATACGTTGTTTGCGAGAATGTTTCGCAGACGATTGTGTGTATACATTGTTTGCGAGAATGTTTCGCAGTAGCTCCACAAGATGAAAAGCAACTTTCCTTTTCTATACAGGAGTACTGGGTGAAAGATTACACGAGTGGGAGTACTTTACACCGTACAAGACCTTTGACAGAGTCAAAACTATTTGGCGCTTTACCGATTAATTCGCTACATTCCTCACCGATATCGGAGTGACCGTACGAGAAAGCACCTGTTTTCAATACATACGGATACAAAGAGCATCGTCCACATAGCATATTTTCTCTGTACCCGTAATTTCGTATCGGGTAGCGATGTTTCCTGTGCGACCATCGAAAAACGCATCGTGCAGTCGAGAGGATCGGATTTTATTAATAGTATGATTCTTGAGAAAATCACTCATCTCGGGATTTTCACGCATTTCTCGGTCGAAGCATTCCCATTTTTCTATAACGTGGTAGCTCCGTTTTCGAAGACGATATGTCGATGCGAGAGTTCGCTCGTAACGCGCATCAATTGTATCATTACGATCTGCGGATGAAAGCGTTCTGTCGCGATTTACCTGATAGCACGTCGAACATGCTAGTGAAACTGAAACACGTAACGTTGCATTCCGTTTACTCCGACTTGTAGTATCCGTTAACGCGCCTGCAGTCAATTTCATATTCGCGTCCTCGTCCCGCGTGAATTATGCGATGATTGAGTTCGCGCTCCTTCCACACTAGCCACTTTAAAGCTTTTCGCGAATGTCTGTGCAGCGGTGACCTCTATCTTTACGATAGCCCACGTTACACGTGACGCAATATCCCTCAGCAGCGGCTTTTACATTTAATATCGGATTATAGTGATGCCTACATTCGTAATACATTATATTTAATTTAATAGAGAGGCAAGTAACGCGCCCTAGAGAGGCAAGTAGTGCGCAACCGTCAAATAACGAAATTCTCACCGTATCTGAAGTGCTAAAATACATCATTATAGCAATATTTTCGGCAGATACCGTTGAAAACATTTGATTTCGCGAATTCCGCATCCCTCCTCGGGAATTGTAATTCCAGCGTTCTTCATTAGTTCTCTCGCAATTCGGATTGTAACAAGAAACTCTTATACAATTCCATTTTTCATGGAGTTCACCCAGATAGATTTCCACGTTCGCAATGCACTCGTGCTACTATAAGGGAACATGAAAAACATAAATTATCCGAATTATTTAATTGCAAAATCGAGCGTTTTGCTACGTCTTTGCGCGTTAAACAATTCGACTTGCGACCACGATTTGCAGGTACCGCGATGTTGAAAACATCGAAATTTTTCGCAATATCGATTCCTCTGACATTTTGAGCTACCGAACTTACGAGTCCCCATATATCCTCGGAAGTTAAGTCGCGTACCAGACGAAGAGATAGTTCTGCCGGACTATGCACTAGGTTCGCCAATCAACGATATTCCAACGTAATTGGCCGGTTCGCATGAACGTATCGCATAGATTTCGCAAAACTCGTTTTCTAATCAGCGAACGATATTCGCGCCTTCGAATATTGGCCGTATCGCGAAACTTGTCTCTCTTCCGAGAATACCGTAATTTCTGAAACGTCGCGAGTTTTCCGCCCGTAACTCTAAGAAATTAAATTGTTCGCCAACCTCGTGTCGATGATGCTGCTGCTGATGGCGATGATGACACTATTGCTGCTGTTGCTACTGATGTTGATGATGATGAGATGATGATGACGATGTTCCTCGTTGTCAGCAGGACTTTCCTTACTTTCGTTTATTAGATCGGCATCATCTCTATCAACGCCATCATATCGGCGATTTGTATGATATGTACTGAAAAATTAAACAAATCTTGTTATTCATTGATATCAATAAAATAAATTAAAATATTGTGGCAGATTGTGATGGTTTGAAATCACAAAAATGTTTATAGTTACAATATTAATATATATCATATATAATCATATATAAGCAAATATCACGCGTAAATCTTTTGTTACATTCGAAGTAGTGACTACGTTTAGTGTACAAGGTAACTCACCTTTAGTTGCTTTCTTCACTCGCATAAAAATCTCCGGAATACCGATTCGATTGATTTATATCATTCAAATGGCGTATATGAAATATCTAATAAAAAATTCATACATGAGAATACATTACGACAAAAATATATAAAAAAATGTAATGAAATATTATTATAATACCTTCAACATCATGAGCATAGTATCTAGCTTCCTCCTCATCCTTCTCCTCCCCCTCTTCCTCTCTTTCATTCGTGTCTTCTTCCCCTTCCAAAGCTTTTTGCGTCTCTTCTATCTCAGTGATATTGCCGGATTCCACTATCGAAATTTTGCCGCTGTTTATCCATTTCTAAAATTTCGAACTTCGAAATTTATCCACTTCCCCTCCTCCTCTTCTTCCTCTTCTCTCTCCTCTATAATTTTCTTCTCCTCCTTCTGCTCCTCCTCCTCCTGCTCTTCCTGTTCTTTTTCATTTTCTCGCACTAAAAAATAACATTTTGTTTTTTTCGTCTTTTGCATAAACTTACTATGGTTTTTCGCTAACTTTTTAAAACTTATGTCGTGGAATAAGGAGACTGTTCGAGATACAGCCAACATGTATAGTTTTTGCATATTTGGCGTTCGTGCGATATGCGGATCGAAAGCTTCTAGAAGGATCCCAAGCGTTCTTAGAGGTTTCCAAAACATAAACTCGGCCATCACCTCGTCGATAAAGTCAAAAAACAATAAGCTAAGCCGCACGTCGCACGTACGCAGATCTCAACCGCTATAACGGCGAACCAACTCGGATCGGTCGCAGCGCACGCGCTATCACGTGACGCAAAACGCGTAATATGCGTTCATCCCAATCAAGAATCCAGATTTAACGGGCGCGCATGGCAATAGCGTGCCGCTTGGCCGTTGCGCTTGAAATTGCCAATCGCCGCCCGAAACAGAAGGTCACCTCAAAATTTTCAATTTTGCAAAAATCTCATAGGCGAATGCAAAGGGAAACCTTTGTTCTTAAAAGAGCATAAAAGGCAAAACTGAGAAGCAATGACTCTCTTATTTTTCGCTGTTCTCGAGTCAATGCTTCGCTACCAGTGCAACCGCCTAGGAGACACTCCGCCGCCAGAAAACCGCCGCATTTGATTCGCAATTGATAATTCGTGTGAAGTGAAATTCAGCTAAAATGCCGTATCACTCAAATTTTTCTTGCCAGCGTTCTCGCTCTAACTCGCTCTCGAACAGATACTCTACAATATGCGCATATGGGCAGAATCCGGATATGTGAAGTTAGCATCCCAACTATAGTACTCAGGAGTTCTGATTAGAGTTCCCGTTTCCTTTTGACGAGACAAAGAGTTCTATATAATTTATAACAAGAGTTCCGCTTAATAATTATTTTTAAATAATTTTAAAAAAATGGGGTGCTAACTTCTCATCGAAAATCGAGTTCGAATAATTCTGAGCGGCTCAATAACTTCATTTCGTGAATACCTAGAGTTCCTGATCCATAAAAAAAAATTTTGAAAAATAAAAAAAAAATTAAAAATTTTTGAAAAATCAATTTTTAGATACAATAGTTCTGATTAGAGTTCGTGCTTCCTTTTAACGAGACAAAGAGTTCTCTATATTTTTTAATGCAAGATTTATTTAATAACAATTTTTAAATAATTTTTAAAAAATGGGGTGCTAACTTCTAGCGAAATTCGAGATCGAATAGTTCTGAGCAGCTTAATAGCTCTATTTTGTGAATATCTAGAGTTCCTGATACATAAAAAACAATTTTGACACACAAGAAAATTTATAAAAAAAAAATTTTTTTTGAAAAAAACAGTTTTTTTTCAAAATAGTTCTGTGATATGTTAATTGTCATTCTAACAATTTCGAAGAGTTCTCAGTGATTAAAATCAACCACAGACTCAAAAATAAAAGAGATACTATATATACTTAAAACGAAATTTGAAAAATCGGTTGCAGAAGTACGTATTTCCTTATGTAGTCATCCAATCACTTTGTCACCTAATATTTTTTGACAGAACTCGTCGAGAACTACACAGAACTCTAATCAGAACTACTCAGTATTCTCAAAAAATTTTTCGACGTTCATGATAGAGTTCAAATGTCTCCGTATCATAATGTCGAAAAATTTTTTAGTAGTTCTGATTAGAGTTCTGGGCAGTTCTCGACGAGCCCTAACGAAAAGTATTAAGTGAAAAAGCAATTGGGCCAACAGTTTTCGAGATACGGGTACATTTGAACTTTATCGTTGAAAATTTTTTAAGTCCGACATCGAAAAATTTTTTGAGAGTACTGAGTAGTTCTAATTGGAGTTCTGTGTAATTCTCGACGAATTCTGTCAAAAAATATTAGGTGACAAAGCGATTGGATGACTACATAAGGAAATACGTACTTCTGCAACCGATTTTTCAAATTTCGTTTTAAGTATATATTTCTTTTATTGTTGAGTCTGAGTTGGTTTTAATCGCTGAGAACTCTTCGAAATTATTAGAATGACAATTAACGTGTCACAGAACTATTTTATAAAAAAAATTTTTTTTTCAAAAAAAATTTTTTTTTTTATAAATTTTCTTGTGTGTCAAAATTATTTTTTATGTATCAGGAACTCTAGATATTCACAAAATAGAGCTATTGAGCCACTCAGAACTATTCGATCTCGATTTTCGATGAGAAGTTAACACCCCATTTTTTAAAAATTATTTTAAAATATTATAATTATTAAGCGGAACTCTTGTTATAAATGATGTAGAACTCTTTGTCTCATCAAAAGGAAACGGGAACTCTAATTAGAACTCCTGAGTACTATAGTTGGGGTGCTAACTTCACATACCCGCAGAATCCTGCGATTCATCATCTAAAACACAATTATATTTTTACATTAGTATTATTATTCTTATTTATTATTTGATTCTATCCTTATATAGAAGAATTCTATCTAAGGTCTTATAGGGAGAAATATTTTAAAAATCCAACTTACTAGATGATAATACAACCACAGGAATATTGCGCAGGTGTAATCCCATACGGCCGTGATTCGTGCTCTTCCTAGAAAATTAAATATTTTTAATAAACTATCTAATTCAATTTGCGATTTAATTTCTAATTAATTTTCATTATTTTCCAACTTACGTGCTGGTATTTCATTAATCGCTTGTTCGGCTGAACGTCGTCGCTTCAAATTAAGCCGGCCTAACGGGTGTCCCCTATGATGCGGAATCGTCCGGCCTACAATACAGTTCGAAACTGTGAAACAAATGTTGGAATTTAATGCAGCGAATTTTTAATAAAACTTTCTTTGATTTATTTCAAAAAAATATTGTTACTGCTTACTTCCAGACGCTTGAAGTCATCTATGTAACCTCCAGCATCGTCTTCTTCATGATTAAAGCACTCATGTACTTCTAAATGATGCGAGATTATTTTCATCATCTCGTATCGCCGCCGTAATGCCCCAGCTAGTGCACAACAACGTACTGGAGCACTCACTCGCGAAACACCCGAAGACTGAATAATTCTCGTTTTCTGACAACTTTGTCAGATAATCAACTGCAACTAACTTCTGATTCAAGTTGCAGGCGACGATAAAGAATTTTATAAGCGATTCGCGAAATGCCATTTTTATCGTTCATAAAATTATTGATTATACAATTTCACAACAAAAATCAACTCTTGACAGAAAAAAATCAATGTAGGATTAAACCTTAATTCACTCGATACGTGATATTTATACACTAATGATATTCACGAAAATTCCTAAAGAAGGATGAATCAATAAAAATTTCTAGTCGCTATTGGCAAGTAGATTTTAACAATTTTTCTGATTGGTTTCCTTCCTTTTACACGAGATTTTCTCGAAAAATTTTCAGAGTGGGAGTTGATAAAAAACTCTCTGGTTACGAACAACATTCTAACAAACTTTGAACAACATAAAATTAACAAACTTTGAACAACATAAAATTAACTCCCATCCTCGCATATGAGCATCACACTCACCATCGCTCGTCTTAAGAAATCCTTTTCCTCTCACTTTCGTTATTATCTCGGAAAAGTTTTTGTCGCATGCTTTTTCGTACTATGGTATTTTTATTGTCGGAGTAATTCAAATTTAATCTTTTCCATTTTTTGCCGTTTTTTAGAAAAATTTTCACATATTAGTCTAGGACAAGCAAAAATAAACTTTTTCAATGAAGAAAAAACGGAATTTCATTTTTATATCGCGTAGAGCTTGATTTTTATTAAATTTGATGTAAGAAAGAAAAATCATGGACTCACTGAACATAATCTCGTCACTTAAATTTTGTTCTTGACTCTCGTTATATAACTAAGACTTAATTTTTTATGCTATATAAAAAGTTTATGACGGTTGACAAATAATTTTCTTCAGGGACAACGTTTCTCTGTCGTTAGAAAAGAATTTTTTTAAACATTAAGATTGGTTTTTTGCTCGGATTAACTATTATGCGTATCCATAGTTCTAGTCGTGCTACTGAGAAATCTTTCTAAAATTAATGAAAAATAAATTCGACATTAGAATATTTCCTTTACTTTGGTGAATTATTTTCAATATAATAGTACTTTATATTCAAGTAATCTTGATGATTTATTTGATTTTTTACGAATTCGAGCATATTTGTGATATGAAAAATTTTCGTTATCCATCTTCGAAAAAATTCTTTCAGAAAAAGTAACTGCGTCGCATAACAGCGTAGCAAGATTCTTCTAGAAAAGTAACAATTTAAACAAATATTCTGCGCGCGCAGATTTTCGTTAGTTTTCAAAAAGCATATAAGCGCAAATCGCTTCACATAGTGTTCACATGTTACAATACTTTAGTCGCGTCTCGTTGTTTGAAGAGTCACTTCGAGATCAGTCGTCCTAATTTTCCTTTATTTGTGAGAAACATTCATCCAAAGTTTTCGCGCGAAGTGATATGGCTGAAAGAAAAAAAATTGGAAATCACTTTGTGCCTAATAATCCTCGTGTGATAAACAATATTACCGAACGAAATGAGCAACAATATTTGCTGCTCTCTACTCGTTCAACTTCTCTCATACGAAGAAATTACACGTGGGATTACAATCCACAAAGGAGGGAATCTTCGAGCCTATTGTCAAATTGACTGGCAATTACGCAGAAGGAATCAACTTCAATTCGAAGCGTGGAAACAATTTCAAGAGAATATGGGACTCATGAGCACAGAAAGTAGCAAAATCAAAGTAAATCCTATCTCATTCGCAAACATTTGTCACCTCTGTCTATGGTGTGAAAACTATACTGATAACGCACAAGGAAGATGAAAATTTCCAAAGGAGACTTCATCAGCAAATATGCAAGCAGAACCAACACAATCGCCGACGAAGAAAAGAAAATCTTACTTCGTTGTGATTGTAATGCAGTAAGGAACATACATTTCAAGGAATGGAGAAAATAATTCCACATTCCAAATATCCCAACATTTCAAGCTTAAATAATATAGATTTTTATCATATTTAAATAAAAATATCTCCGGCATAGACTACAGAAGAAATTTATTCTTTAAAAACGAGTAAATCATCACACCGATTACGATGACGCGTACCAGCACGAACTTGTTCTCATTTCTGTTTTACTTCCCCTTTCTCCCTAATGAAAGTAGAGTCTCCAGAAAATACTCGTAAAAGTTCTCGTCAGCTTGGTGTACAAATAAGTTTTAAAGCGTTTTTAATGAAATTTAATATTTATTTAGAAACGAAAACACACTTAATTATCAAAATAATCTCCATCATTATTTATCTTTAGCCATCCTTTAGCCATCTTTCGGGCAGCTTGCGAATTCCAGAAGCGAAGAAAGTTTCGTCTTTCGATGCGATAAAATTATCCAGCCATTTTCGCACTTCTTCAAATGCTCGAAAGTGTACACCGGACAAGGCGTTTTGCATTGACCGGAATAAATAATAATCAGAAGGGGCTATATCTGGGCGCCGGGTGTGGCAGAACTTCCCAACTAAGAGCTAGCAACGTTTCCTTTACAGGTTTACCAACATGAGGCCTAGCGTTGTCATGAAGCAATTTTACAGGACATCTTCCTTTGCCAGTAAATGGACGATTTCGTTCGATTTCTTGATTTAAACGGATCAATTGTTGACTGCGATCACTGTTAACCGTTTCATTCGGATGGAGCAGTTCATAATATAGCACACCCTTCAGTCCCACCAGATGCATAGCATAACTTTGCTGCTGTGGATGTTGCGTTTTGGCGTTGATGTAGTGGGTTGTTCTGGATCCACATAATGTTTCCTCTTTTTAGGATTATCGTAAAAAGTCTACTTTTCATCACCAGTCACGATTTTCCACAAGAAAGATTTTCTATCCTGTTTACATGCTTTAGCAGCGCTTTTTCCTTGATGAAATTCGTATCGAATGCAGTGTCGAATAAATTGCTTGTCGCTCTCCATTTTAAAACCATTTAATTTTGAGGTTAAGTTTCCAATTTTGTGAAGAATTGTGTTTTTTAATACTACACATTAAGCGCCACTACATATCAAAAGAATGCGAAAATATTTGAATTCTAAGTTTAAATTATACGTTACACGCTTTAAAACTTATTTGTACACCTAAGAAAAAAATCCTTTCATTAAAACGTCTGTAGACATCGAAGTAGGCCGAAGACATCGAGCCACTGCAGCAAAAAATGACCTAGAGAATAAAAACTGTGTGCTATTTATATCTACTGTTCGCACCTTTCCCTCCCCGTAACGAAAACATGTCACAGTCCCGATTTTTCTTGGTGTCACGGTATTCATTCCCTGCCGACACCCTCCCTCTTCTCTAGTCACCGCGTAGGCGACTATGGACAGAGCCAATCAACGCGTAGGCAGCCATGGACCGAGCCAATCAAGACGCACCATTTAATTACCTCATTACTCACACTTTCGTGTCACCGATCAATCAAAGCGCACCATTTCCCAGATAGGCCACGCCTCGGCGCCGGAAGTGGAGTGATGGTTTGTTTTGACGGCCCATGGCTGCCTATAAACTACTGTCGTTTTTATGATAATAAATATTTGCAAATTTCAAAATTTTTGAATTATTGAGAAGCACTATCACAGAAATAGTACGTTTTAGCAAAATAGTCCTTACAAATTCATTAATAATTTTGGAAAACACATATTAAAAAATGACTACTCGTGCAAGTTCTCAACGCCTACCTGTCAGATAATTAGATCTCCAGATAATTAGTCCACATGAACTGTTTGATATCTTAATATAAAAATCTTTATATAAAAATGATCTTTATTAATAAATTTTTTCATATATTCTAAAAGATGTTATTTTATTCAAATACTATTCTTATAAATCCTTATTCCTTAAATAATTGTGAAATTAAAAATATATTCTCTAGTATCGTTATGAAATAATATGATTTATGTCATCAGCAGATTAAAAATATACTAATATTAAATAACAGACTTAATATTTTGAAAAATTAAAAAAAATGGAATGAAAATTTCGACCATAACTAAATATGACTTAATTAAATTTTTTGTATTTCTACTAAGAATATTGAAGAATTTTTTTATAAAAATTAAAAATGTCGATCTTGACGAAAATTGACTTTATTTATTTCAATCAGATTTTTTAAGTAAAAACAAAATTTAAAGCTTTTTTTCATATTTTTTTCTAATAGAAAATTTCAAGAAAAATAGTTTAATATGGTTATTTTTTTGCTTTTCAATAATTTAAACAGAAGTTATGTTCAACTAAAATATTTACAAAATAAAACAAATTGAAAATACTAAAAAATTCATATCTAGGAAACTAATGGAGGTAAATATCTAAAAAAATAATTGAATATTTTAATATGAGAAATCAGTAAAAAAATCGGCAGAGGTCGGTGACGAAGGTCGTCGATTTGGAATGCCTCGTGCGTGTGTGTGTGTGTGTGTGTGTGTGTGTGCGTGCGTGCGTACGTGCGTGTGTGTGTGTGTACATACACATATATGTATGAATGGTTTTATATTCCTCTAAATTGTTTAGTTAAAAATACGAATAAAATATAATAGTAAACTGTCTCCTGTATGTTATCATATTACAGCTGATACATTTTTACTAAATTGGAAAAAGTCTGAAATAGTACACATATATTTGTTCTAATTAATAATAAACTATATGTTATTTATACGTGATTTGCATAATTCGTTTTCTTTATTGAAATATTACAATATTGAAGTGTGATAATATGCGAACTAAACAGCTGTGTAATAATGTCTAAAATATATTTACTGTATTTGCTAGAAGTTATTATTTATAAATTTCTAAAATTATGCCGAGTATTTTTATTTCTTAGACCTCCCTTGTGCAAATTTCAAACTATTATATTAATTATACTAGCAGGAAAAAAAAAATTATCGTTTGTCTAATATCTTATCTCACAAGAACGCGATGAGACTGTGCGATGAGAAGTGCGAATTCTC